ATTACTTATCGGCACTCAGTGCGGATAAGGCCTGTATCCGCACTGAGTGCGGAAAAAGTGTAACTTTGAGCCCGGAAATGCGTGCGGAAAAGTACTACTTTGCGCACGCTCGTAGGAAAAATAATTTTCAGTGCTTGAAGAGGACCTGCCATCCAGATAATAGAAACTGCGAAAAGAACTATAGTCTCCATAAAATTACAAAAATCAGACATCCTACAAATCCGCTTCATAATCCATTAAATGAAATGTATCAAAAAACTGGAAAATGACCCAATCGATCATTCAAAGATTTCAAAGTCTTACCGAGAAGTTTGGCAGCGATAATCAGTCCATACATTTTGGAAATTTCACAAGGCCTTATCAGGAAAAGACAATATCCAGAAGAAACTGTTTTCCAAATTATACAAAATAATGGACTGTAAAAAGCTAACATAGGTATATGGTTGTGTTGAACGTACCTACTTGCATGGTTTATTTAGTTTTTTTTCCATTGCATATGGATTTATCTGTTATATATTTATACTTAGCAAAATAGTTGTAAATACATATGAAATAATTGTAGATATCAAAGGCTAATAAAGACCTATTAAAATTAGTTCAATAAATATTGTTTACTACTACCTACTACTAGGAAAGTAAATTAGGGTGGCAAAAAAGCCTTTATATAAATGGAGGATTGAAGGTGCAAAGAACAAAACAAAAAAGAACTGGGAAATCGTTAATCAATTGAGGGGTAAAGCCAATTTATTGCAAAATAATATTGAAATGCCATAGATTATTTGGTCAATATCTATGTTCCTGGAATTTTTATTTTAGAAAGCACAAAGGTGGAAGAAGTAAGGATGATTTTCAAAAAAATATTAAACAAGAATTCGGCAGGTCACGATGGAATCTCAGTAAGAATAATGGAGTGCTTACCGGAGTCTGCATTGCATGGACGGATGCAATCAATCATTTGCGATGGGCGAATTTCCATGTTTAAAAAATGCTGTTGTAGTTCCGTTGTGGGGGGTGATATGAGTGATCCTTTCAACTTTCGTCTTATTTCCCTTTTATCTACGCTTTCGAAAGTCATTAAGAAAATAGCGAAGAAAAGATTAATGATTTTTTTTGGAAAATAACAAAATATTAAATCCTGTCCAGTTTGGTTTTCGCTCGGGTAAAAATACAGATGATATTTTCTCCTTGCTCCATCAGGTTTGTCAAAATATAAATTGTGGCGATGCTGTTGCAGCAATATTCTGCGATTTTTCGAAAGCATTTGATTATGTGGAGCATGGAATGTTGCTGGGGAAGCTGAGACAGTAGCTGCTTACGATCAAGCACTTTTCTTACCTAAGTTAAAGTTAGTTTCTTAGCTGAGCTAAGTTGTTTGATCGTACGCGCAATTCATATAGGCTGATCAGCTGCCTATCAAGTTACGACTCACGTCATAAAGATCGCCCGCGTCAGGATAATAATTGACGTGGCCGAGTGCGTGAGCATGTTCCAGCCTGTGTCCTTACATATTTTTGCGGGTAGAAAAAAAATATTTTTTTGCTGTTTGTGAACCTATTAAAGAAATAATATTATATTATTGAGCTTCCGCATTTATATAATAAACATGTTCAAAATACATTGATTTGGCATTGGTGCGGCCAGCCTATATGTCTATCAAATTAATCTTGAACCACGAATTCGCCGCTCTTTCGCATCTGTATGTAGGTAATCTGTGACAGTGTCACCTAAGTCACTAATAATCCTCCAAATTGTAATAAGCCCTTTGCAACAAAATATCCTTAACACTCCTACGAAATAGTTTGTATTTTCTGATGGATCAAGTTCATTACTTAGATGGTTAAACATATTTTTGCTCTCATAGAATATTGAGCTAAAGCAGATTTTAGTATAGGTAAGCTTATATTAGTGTTCGAACTTACTCTAGTGTTGTACCCAATATCCGGAGTTTCCAAACCTGAATATTTCGTAAAACAAATATCGAGTTAACTGTTGCCTGTTAGTAAATCCCCAAAAAACTATATCATATATCTTACAAGAGATTCAAATAGTGAGTGATAAACCATTTTTGTGGTAGAACAACTAAGCTCGTTGGAAACTATTCTGATTGCAAAGTAACCAGTAGACAACCTTTTACTAGTGCCGTTATATCGTCCTCAAATTTAGGTTTATCGTTGAGACCTAAAAAATTTGTAAGGGGTTTATTTTCTACAATTTCATCATTCAAATAGAAATCATTGAAGCAAAACCCAATGGTAATCATGTTGGTTTTATTTACAATAAAACAAAGCAAAATTACATCACACCAAAGCTTAACTTCACGCAGATCCCTATCAACAGTGGATTTGAGGTAATCCCTGTCTGCAAAGATATTTCTTATTCCAAAACCAAACTTTGCTGTTATAGTAAAATTAAAATTTTATGAAAATATTTCTGCTTCTCCGAAATAGAACTTTTCTAAGATAGATAGATACTTTACTGTTGCAGCAAAAAAAAATCCTGTAATTTTTGTTATTGTTACAGTAATGTTTTTTGCTACCCTAGCCAAATAACTTAACTAAAAATACCGTTCGGACATTTCCGTGATTTCTTCGGGTCCAAAAATAACCGATAAAATATGTTTCGTGTTCATTTTCTTCCATTTTAGTTTAGTAGCTAACGCCGTACGGTGTGGATCGTGGATGCTGTCGAGTCAAGTCGAGTGTCGGTCGCTGGGAATCTTTTTGGAAATGGTGCCAGCGCATCCATCAAAACTAGCAGAAACAACTCTAGCCCAAACTTTTCATTAATTGACATTATTTCAGATCAGATAATGAAAGTTTAGGAGTTTAAATAGAGTTTGTTTTTGCTATTGCACTGAGAAAACTTCCAGCCAAAAATTCTTTACTAGTGTATTTTCAGCTATCATGGCAGAAATTTTAGCTGAAATTGCAAAACGATCCTATTCTAGTTGTAAGATGCACTTTACTATGTTAACATAATGTCACTTTGCTCTAACAGTAGTTTTTTTCTGCCACTAATAGTTTTTTTCTGATACAGTAGAAACACTTATTATTAGTAAGTATGTTTTATACCGCGGCAAAGTGCATGCCTGCAACTATGAAAAACTTTTTTATAAGTTCTTTTAATTATTGCTGGAAAGATTTTGGCTTCTTCAGCCAAAAGATTTTCAACAAAATCCGTCGGGGGGTGGTGAGGTGGGAGGTGATTTGCGATCCACGAGGTTTCCCGACGCTAGCATCCCTCGGTAGTCCGTGGTAAACGTCAAACGTAGAAGGAAGCTTCTGCTGTCGGCTCGTGCAATTTTGTAATCAAGTCAATAAGGTGGAGTCGATCAAAATATTGAATTGTTTGTTTTTTTTAGTTAATGGGTGAATGTGGTAGGGTAGGTATACAACGGTATGATGTATCTATTTAATATTTTTTATGAGCTTCTCCTTATTCTCTTCAAGATATTCTAAAATAAAAAATGTTGGTTTTCTGTTTTTGTCTTAAACAAGATGGCGTAGCCTAATCCTTTTTTCGAATATTATTATAGGTACCTATTTTTAATTGATCGAGGAGGCAGTGCATTCGTCACAGGACTTCTCCAAGTTTGTTTTGATTCAACCAACCTCATATCTCATTACTGATCTCCCTATATTAAAGGCTCTTGTATTATTGTATTTATTGTTTATGCTCCTTTATAGATTTAAGTTTTTTTGATTTTTCATTATAAGAGTATTGTTTCTTATAATGGGAATAACAATTTTCCATTTTTCTGTCCATATTTTAATTTTATAAAAAAATATTATTTTTTAATAAAATATATGTATTGTTTAATTGTAGGTATTTCTGTTTTATTTTTACCCCATGAGCATATTTACCCCACTAATGGCCGTTTGCACCGACCATTTTAAGGAAGCCTTAGCGATAAGTTTTTCTAAAGTGACATTTCTCTACGTAAAAATGTCATTGGATACTTATTGCTAAGGCATCCACAAAAATACTTTATAGTAGCACCAAATTTACTTTGTAGCCACAATAAAGTTACTTTATTGTCATAAAAAAAACTGTATAGTCGTAGCAAAGTCACTTTATAGTCACAATAAAGTAACTTTATTGTAACAACAAAGATATCCTTTATATTCACAACAAAGTTACTTTGCTGCCACGGGTAAGACGGTTCAATAAAGTTAACTCCATTACCACAGTTAAGAGCTTGGCTGGAGCCTATTCTAAAAAAAAAATTAGCTGTGGTCACTAAAAAATTGGCAAGGGCCATAAGGAAGATTTCTCAGTGTGGTGAGACAAATAACTTCCCATGGCTAATAAAACACTTGGATGATTCTGGCAACAAATTTTTTGTTCTGAGACAAATGCTTTCCTATTTCAGGAAGCATTTCTAATAACAACAACAAATATCTTTTCTGTCTTAGCAATCTACTTTTCAATAGCAAAAAATGATGTTTTTGAGGGTATATAACCTCTTTTCTAGGACAGCATAGTTACTTTCCTATGACAGCAAAGTAGGCTTTTCTATGCCAGCAAAGTGACCTTGTAGAAACTGTGAGTAAATTCTTTATAAAGTCACTTTGCTACCGCAAATAAACGGTGCCAGTAAAGTTATCTTTTCGGCGGTAGTAAAAGTAAAGATCTTGGCTGTCCCCTATGTAGCCAAAATTTTTGGCTACGGCAGGAGAAAAATTAGCTATGACAATGAAAAAAATTTCTCAGTGTATCTATGCGTGGGGTTGCTGGCAACCCGGCTTCGTCACAGAATATCGTCGTCGGCAAGTATACGTACTTACCCATCTGTATTAGGTGATCTGTGACACTGTATGACTATACAACTTTTTTTGTTTTTGGGTACTTTTGTCTTTCATCAATCAACACAATAAAGTATGATTGACTATGACTATGACTAAAGGGCGACATTTTGGGCATTTTTATGAACCCTTCCAAGCGCCGCCACTGCTCAAAATAAAACATTTTGTTAGAGTACAACAAAAAAAAAAAATCAATAATATAAATAAGTATATTTCGAATCTTTAAAAGAAAATAAACACAAGATGAAATATTAAAAATAATCACAGAAGAAGAAAATATACAACCACCTCAATTTTTTTTTTTGATTCAATAATAATTAATAAGTAAATAAAAACCTACAATAAACAATTATTATTAAATATGTATAACAAATTCACAAAGGGCTTGGTCTGATTACAACAATGAAAAGAAAAATCCCATGTAAGTGTTAAACTTGAAACAATACAAAAAGCAGATTAAATATTTGAGATTCTTAAGTTACTCAAGAAGGTTTAAATATTAGATTCAATTATAAAATTAAGGCACAATTGCTTTAAATCGGCAGCTTTGTGGTTATTGTAGCCTTCTTCTATACAATCCTCTACATTAAATATCAATGTATAAATTTCGTTAAATAACAATAATAAATATTTTATAAAAATTTGTATATCAAGTGAAAATGAGCATTAAATTGTATTTTGTTGTGCCAAAATCATGACCGAAAATAAAAACTTAGTGGCCTGATCCTACAGGAATCCACTGACTTTTTCTATGTTCTACGTCTACAGCCGCTTTAACTTGAGCGCAAACGTGCGCTACATTAGCCCCAGCAGACACAATAGCTGTTACCAGATGGCGGTATTCGTGTTCAAGCTTGTGACCGTGCTCAAACATTTCTTTGGCTGCCTTACCAGAAAGTTTATCAAGACTGTACCTGAAAAAAAATCACATTTAAATAGGCAATTTTCAGATGCCAATAAAAGTTACCTTGCATCTTTAACTTCCTTAATTTGCTTCGTGCTTTTAAATTTAATCAAAAGCACCACAGGATTTATGTTTAATCGTCTCAATCTTTGCACGGTTGCTATAGAACAATCTAGCATACAATGTAGACGAGCATTGACTACAGATTTGACTGCTTGAACTGTTATGCACTCGAAACAAGATCCTCTTCGACGATATTCAATAATTAAACCATCCTCCAGTTCTCTGTCAAGCTGAGCTTGATTGCACCTTCTAGTGTCAGTCAAGGCCCTTTGAAATTTGTCCGGAAAATCGCTGACTAATTTATCTGCCACACATTCAGCCAAAGGCCCTAGAATCAATACAGGACGAAATTCTGGATATTGAAGACGTTCAACTCGTTGATAAGACATTTGAGATAGATCTTCGTGTAAGGATCCACTGTCAGAATACCATCCAGGTGATAAGTTGCAAAAACTTGCTAGTTCTTTGGAATCTCTAGCTCCAGCTGAGCCCAAGCCAGACGAGCCACTGCCACCTCTTTGAGGCTTTTTTCGTCGGAAGAAGCTCCGTCTTGCTGTGGCTGCTGTACGACTTTCTAGAGCGTCACCGCCTCCACGTCTTAAAAGCATTTCTTCTTCAATCTAGAAAGAAACATTATTTTTGTTGGAGTCAAAGCAGATATAAAATTATTACCTTATATTTGCTGGGTATGACTCCACACAACTGCCTGTGACCCTCACCGTCCAATCTCCAAGCCCGCCATTGTCCTGGTACACCATTAAACATAGTATTGTCCACATAAAGTACATCATCTTTGTTGAATGTCAATTGAGGAGGATCTGTCAATTCGTTTCCGCTCCTATCAAAGCCACAACGCACATAGAGACTGTCTCCAGGATTATCTTTGATTTCCTTGTATTCTAATAACAGTCATTAATAATTATTGAAATTCAGTCATGTCATTGGTCAAATTATTAATTATAAGAAATAAACCACCCTGCTAAATTTGTGCAAACAATTTCTCAAACTACCCGCAAATTCCTTCAAATTTCCTACAAATTCCCTGCAAATTCCTCCAAACTGCTCACAAAGGACCATGCACGGATCTTATGAGAAAAAATAAATTTCACCATTGTCATGAAATTGAAATATGTTATGCTTCTCGACCTCTTGAACGTAAGTTCTCCTAGGCCCAAAAAGATCCTATAATTAGTTTCGGAGATACAGGACTGATAGAGAAAAAGTAGTACAAGAAAAATCTCCAGAATCTGCTGGTACATTAATTAAATTCATAACCAAAAATGACATATTTTTGGCATTTTTCGACAAATTTTTAACCTTCAAAGCTTCAGATAACATCATTTTGGCATTTTTCCACCCGTTTTTAACCTAGAATATGTCATTGCCTGAACACAACATATTTTGAAATGTGCATTTTTTTGTCAAAATTATGTAAGTATGTTAACACGGCCCTGTATCTTCGAAACTAATCATAGGATCTTTTTGGGCCTATGAGAAGTTACGTTGAGGAGGTCGAGAAGCATAACATATTTCAATTTCATGACAATTGTGAAATTTATTTTTTCTCATAAGATCCGTGCGTGGTCCTTTCTTGCAAATGCCTGTTATAATTTCCATAAAAATCCCCCAAATTGTTCGAGATAAAAAATGTATTTTTCTATTTTTATTACTCTTAGTGTGAAAACCAATAAATTTCCCCAATTTCTCATAAATTTCTTCAATTTAACATAAATTCCTTCAAGTTCCCCATAAATAAAGAATTCCTAGGAGGTTTGGTTTGCCCCTTGAATAATTACTTACTGTCAATTCTATAATGCGCCAATACTGTGACCTTATCAGCAGGTTTGGCCAGTTCATATGCTGCCTCTTCAGCAGTAGCTGATCGCAGATCGTTACCATTATACTCAAGAATCTGATCCCCTGTTCTCAAGCCTGCGTGATAGGCCAAAGAATCAGGTTGTACCGAGTGAATAAATATTCCAGCTGCGTTGCCTCCTACCAAAGATATACCTAAGTTGGAGGTTTTTAGGGTTTCAATGCATAAGTAGCGTGGTTCTTCAAGAGACCCTCTGAAAAAAAAAAAAACATTAAAAAAAAAACCTCAAAAATAGATACAAAACTTTTACCTTGTGCTACTAATGCTAGAAACCCCACTTTGTCTTTGCATAAGCATTAAAGCTGAAGGCTTATTTTGCAAGGAAGGTGTTTTTCTAACTTCCTTAGGCGAGTTACATGGTGTTGCATCACCTTCTCCTTCTTCGTCATCCTCTTCTTCTTCCTCTTCATTGGATGATGGTCCTGAAGGAGATTCAGCACCTTGGGTAATCTATAAAAAATAATTTCAACATAAAAAATTCAAACTTATAAAAGATAGTTACCTCATGGTACTTTTCAGGACTGTACTGCACCAACAAAGTGATTGAATTTCCACATTGCATCAATACACTAGCAGCTAAATTGTAGGTGGCGTTCCTCATATTTATTCCGCAAACTTCCAGCAACTGATCTCCAATTCTTAAGCCTACTCGACTTGCCAAGCTGCCATCTGTGACTGTTGAGACGAAAATTCCACCACTGTCAGCTATCTGGATACCCAATGGTTCATTGGATTTATCTAGGAATAATTTTGTCCAAATATTATTGATTTTGTTAGTTGAATGTTTTATACCTATATGAACACGTCTCAACTCTCCAGGTGAAGGTTTATGAAGCCAAGGATAATAATCTCTGGTGTATGATTGAGTAGAAGGATCTCCGGGGGGGCCAATAACTTCAACGTAAAAAATTGGCAATGGACTACCCCGTTCTGAATTATGCTCTATGCTTCCAGTACTCACTTTATTGGAAGTTACACTAGGATTGGAGGGGACACGAAATCGCTGTTCCCTAATGTACAAAATTAATGATAAACTATTACACTAACAAACCCAAATTAATGTTTACCTATTTCTAGGGTTTCTAGGATAAGTCCCGCCAGTCTCCAACAAATCCGGTCGTCTCCTGGTGCCAGCGTCAACAGAAGGACTGTGATTGTGCTGATAAGGCTCAAAATTAAAACTTTCCCTTGAATGGTTCATGTGAGGATGGGGATGCGGGTGGTACGGATAATGTACGCGAGGCGGTACGAAAAGTTGACTGGGGTTGCGCGAATAAGAATTTCCAGCCTCCTGGGGTACTCCTATGATACTGTCTCTTTCGTCAGATCCGTATTTGCTCACGCCTAAAATTCAATATTTATTTATTCTCCATTGTATCGACGTTTACAAGTTCATAAGGAAGATTAATAACTTAAACTATCTAACCTAAAACCGCCCTTTATGCGCAGCTTTTAAATCTCATATGTGACATGTTGAAAAAGTCTGATTTCTCACAAAATTTATTTACATTCGCGGACACTCTATTGACAGGACTATACACTACAACAAGTACGAAGAATGGCAAATTGGTATATACATCAAGACACTGGCATATGATGGATAGCAAGGTATACTGGATACAAGATATTCTGGACTCTTGATACAATGTTTCAGGACATTAAATGCGAAACATACAGGGTGTCCCCGTTCAACTGGCCAAAAATGCCAGGGTATATAGAGGAACCATAGAGAAGTAGTTTGAGATAGGACACCAATGGTCAGAAGTGCGTCGTTTCCAAAATACGGGGTGTTGAAATTTTACAAAAAAAATCGAATTTACTCTCTGTATTAAAAACGCTTTTAGCGATTTTAATGAAATTTTCAGGATTTACATGATAGGCGGTGGCATGGATGATAACAATAATTGTAAATGGAATATTCCGCGGGTATAGAAATTCTCAGGCGAATGAAGCGCATAAAGCAGCATTTGTCAATATTAAGTATCATATCATCATCAGATCATTTTGCAGGAGAAAAATATGGTGAGTTGATGAACATTAAAAAATTGGAGGAAAGTAGATTACCAAGGTCATTGATGAATAAACTGAATAACAATGTGTCTCACAACTGTTTTCAAATGATTTACTGAATCCATGTTGCTGATTAACTATAATTTGGTGAAAGGTGCCTGAGAAAACTTTTTCAATACGGTGTTCAAATAGCTTAGGTATAGCTGAGAGAATACTGATAGGTCTGTGATTAGTCACATTATTTTTGTGCCCTGATATGTGGATGGGACAAACATATGACAATTTCCAGACTCTTAGAAACACTCCTTGGAGCTAAAAGACTTCGAAAATATTATGTAATAAAGGGGAGATACAGGAAGTGAGGCAAAGCTTTTACACTTTGTTTGGGATTCCATCAGGGCCCTCTTTCTTATTAATGTCGAGTTCAGAGAGCGATTTTTCAAATGCAGTAATCTGAATATCTGAAGTTGACTGAAAATACTATTTTATCTACAATTGGTGATGAGATTGAGATAAAAACGCAACGAGAAAGTAGAAAAAAATCAGTTCTTACTCCAAACTAACCTAAAGCTGAGTTATTCAAAGTTGATTATCAAATTTTACATCAATAGAAAATCTGAACTATATAAACACTCATAAAAAAACCACTATGAAACCAATCACTTATTGTAAACTTTAGCTAAAAAACATCAAAATTTCTTACTCAATCGATTATTCTTCTTATAATAAGGCATCACATCCTTCTCATACAGTCTCTGCACAGGCATATCCAAACTATTGTCAGAATTCATATTGACACTGTGTCTGTTGGATGTGCTTACTCTATTGACAATTTCGAACGAGTTATCAGGCATAAAATGGTGAGTTGCATCGACACTTTTGTAAACCGAATGCCTATTGTTAGTAGGTTGGTCTTGGGGCACCAAAGCTACAGGAGTTGAGTTTCTGTAGTAATCCAGAGCATCTTTGGGCTGTGCTAGGATACTTAGTGGGGGGCGTTCTTTAGTTCTTGTTACTACTGTACCAACTCCACCTAGAATTAAATGTTTGAGCCTACAAAATATGACAAAATAATTATTACCTGAAGTTAAAACAGCAGTAGCTCTGGCTTTGGGCCAAGTCCCTCCATTATTTTTTTCTTCTTTCGGTTGAGTCAGTGTCCTTTTGGAAGCCACAGATGTTCGTTTTATAGTGTTGGTATGGTGAAAACTGTCCAGAACCGAATCCAGTTCTGCAATTGCAATTGCTTGTTCGTGCCCAAAGTCTATGGGATTAGGGGAACTGTTGCGATATTTCTTCTTGTCATCTTTAGAGTGTCTCCACGAGCCTTTCATTAGGTCAAATTTTTCTTTCAGCCAAGCGCTGCTGTTTTTTTCTTGGTTAGTGTACTTGTAGTCACTTTGATTTAGCCAATCTTCAGTCTAAAATTATTGTAAAGTGAACAATAAGTTCATTGACTAAGACAATGCCTAGATTTATACAGGGTTGTCCTTATGTATGGAAACGGTCTGATATTTCAGAAACAGCTTGAAAAAATTTTACAATATTTTTTACCTGGGGGTTTTTGGAAATGCCCGATTGAATGGTGGTATTTGCAATGTTACTAAGTTCACCTTTTCTGAGATACCGTATGTGACTTGATTTTTTTAAATGGATGCCCCTCTTTATTTTTATTGTAATTAATTCAGCGTCCTGACATTACTAAAATCCCTTAATGCCAAAACTGCATTTGACTTGGTTTTTGAAATATGGCAACACAGATTTTTTGTTGAAATGTATGGCAACAGTCTCCTATTTCATAGAAGACTTTAGCAAAATGTACAATATTCCCTACCTGGTGGTTTTTAGGAATGCCCGATTCAGTGGTGATATTTGCAATGTTGCCAAGATTATCGTTTCTAATATGCCATATGTAACTTGATGTTTTTTAAAGGATGTCTCTCTTTATTTTTATTGAAATTAATTCAGCATCTCAACATTATTAAAACCTCTGAATGCCAAACCATCCAAACCAAACCAAAAATCTGTGTTGCCATATTTCAAAAACTAAGTCATTTGGAGGTTTGAAATGTAGGGGTTTTAGTAATGTTGGGACGCTGAATTAATTGCAATGAAAATAAAAAATCAAATTATATATGGCATCTTAAAAACTTGGCAACATTGCAATTACCACCATTGAATCGGGCATTCCCGAAAACCTCCAAGTAGGGAATATTGTACCGTTTTCTAAAGCCTGTTCTGAAATACGAGACTGTTTCCATACATTTCAACAAAAAATCTGTGTTGCCATATTCCAAAAACTAAGTCAATTGGAGGTTTGACATTTAGGGGTTTTAGTAATGTTGGGATGCTGAATTAATTGCATTGAAAATAAAGAGGAGCATCCAAATAAAAAAATCAAGTTACATATGGCATCTTAGAAACGGTAAACTTGGCAACATTGCAATTAATACCATTGGATCGGGCATTCCCGAGAACCTCCAGGTAGGGAATATTGTACCTTTTTCTAAAGCCTGTTCTGAAATACGAGACTGTTTTCATACATTTCAACAAAAAATCTGTGTTGCCATATTTCAAAAACTAAGTCAATTGGAGGTTTGACATTTAGGGGTTTTAGTAATGTTGGGACGCTGAATTAAATACAATAAAAATAAAGAGGGGCATCCATTTAAAAAAATCAAGTTACATACGGCATCTTAGAAACGGTAAACTTGCAACATTGCAATAGCCACCATTGAATCGGGCATTCCCAAAAATCCCCAGGCAGGAAATATTTTAAATTTTTTTCAAGCCTGTTCTTAAAATATCAGACCGTTCCCAAACATAACAACAACCCTGTATAAGTGTTACACAATCGATGGAGAACTGAGTCATCATAGGAAAAATGAGTCAAAAGTTAGTAGATTCTATTCACCAAATCTTTACCTGCGAACTTCTATTTTCCTTCTTATTCCTCCTAACAGGTGTAAAAACATTTGGACACTCTGGATAGCTCATTTTCAATGTAGTAATAGTAATGACGTCAGTGTTTTCGTCATTCAGCACCTGCATAGCTTCCCGCACATTTTCAATATCATCCATAGATTTGTCATTTATCCTTAAAATACGATCCCCAACTGTGAGACTTTTATCTCTAGCTGCCAAACTCCCTTCACTTATGCGATTAATGTAGACTCCCATTTTTAAAGACAGTCCATGACAACCTATAATAAAAAACGTTATTGAAATTGTTCCAAGACAATTTTCTAGAAGGTCACCTGGAGCAAGCCTTGCAGTATGTATCCATTTGGCAACTTTATCACCAAAAGCCCTAATTTCGTTTCTAGCACACCGTGTCCTACGCACTAGAACGTGTGCAGCAGGCATGCTAGATCTAATAGCTTCAGTGACCATTCTCAAAGAAGCTTGGCTGCAATCCACATCATTGACCCTGACAATTTTGTCATGAGGGAAGAATTTACCAATTGCAGCGGAGCCAGGAGCTACTGAAGCTACATAAACAGCGCCATCTCCAGGGAAATCGCGACCTCCAGCAAATTCTAGAGCTTCTTCATCAGAACTGGTCAGATCCAGTTGGATGACTTCGGTGTGGCCACATGTCTGAGGTTGGTCTTCTATGTTTGATTGAGATACACGTCCTTCGCGCTCTATTTGAGCTTCTAGAGCTTCACGAAGAGCCTAAAAAATACATTGTCATTCTAAAACTTTCCTCGCACCAGTTTGCAGTATTTCAAGTTGAAAAAAATATATATATATCTCACTTTGTTGTCCTTTATTAACTCATTTCGTTGTTTTTTAATAGCATCAGATTCCCTAAGAGACTCTGCCAACTCTGACACAGCCCTATCACGTTCCTTTCTCATATTATCTCCCAATGTTTTGATGCTTTCCCTTTCTAAAACTATTTTGTCTCTTTCTGAAAACGCCCAATCTCTGCGGCCTTTTGAAACTTCAGCTTCTTGCACCTAAAAAAAAAACAGCTTAATAAACAAGTTTCACAAACAAAATTTATCTTACAGCTTCCACTAATTCAGTCTGTGCTTTATCGAGACTTTTTCTCAGAGATTCCAACTCCTGATTGGCTTGGTCCAAGTTGTCCAATCTTTGTCTTTGTTTGATTGACCTAGAATCTTCGCGTAAATGCTCCTTTCTTCCTCCGCCTTCACCTAGAGTGCCTAAACTGTCTATTAAGCGTCCGCGACTTTTTTTCATTTGATCTCCCAATAGGAGACGACCATCTTCAGAGGCTGCACCCAATTCACCGAATTTTTGACGCAGATCGTTGCATTCTTTGAGAGCCTAAAACGGATCATACGCACTTTGGTTAATAATGATTATGCTAAATTGCTACCTTGTCTCTTTCATGCAAAGCACTGGCTATCTCTCTTTTGAAAGATTCAAGCTGATAACTCATTCCACGTTTTGCTTCTTGATGTTCCTTATTGTCAGCATCTAGGATTTTTAATTTTTTCATCGCTTGAGATAGGTCGTCGCTAAGTTTTTCCATTTCTTTATGAACTGTGTCCCTATTAAATTCAATAAATTATTTCGATATCTTATCTAATATGAAATAAATACCCAAAGTCATGCTTTAAAGTGTATTTTCTATTAGGCATAAAGCATAAAGGCATTTAAAAAAAATTTGTAACAATAATATCAGCACGAACCAAGCGTGCAAAATCTATGAATTATTAAATACAATTGATTTTTAGGATAAACATCTATTTAATTCGTATAGGGGTTCTAATTGTAATGCAAACAAACATTACAGTTTTGTTTCATTGGAGGTGAATTGAAAGTGGAATAATACATTATTTATTGTTACCCTTCAATTATTCTATTAACCATTAATTTGATAGTGTAAAAGGGAGCTTAAACTGAACTGAAAAACAATTATGTATTTTTCAGTATGAAAATACCTAATACACTTATAGAAATAAATAAAATCAACTGTCTTCTTTTAATAAGAATTACCTTTCGCTCATAATCAAATTATACTCTTCCATTGTCGCATTTCTCTCATCAGTCAACCGTTTAATTTCCTTATTAGCCTTAATGGTAATATTAACAGAATCCTCATATTGCTGTTGCAATTTCTGATGTGCCTCCCTATACTTAGTGTAATCTCTCAACAATTTCACTAGCTGTGTTTTCAAGCCTTGAACGTCTCTTTGAGCTGCCCCCCGATCTTGACCTAGAAAATTGAAGAATATTTCTATGTTTCAATTTTAGCACCGAATTTGAAAAATAAATACACATACCTAAGACTTCGCATTGCTTCAAAAGCCTGGCATTTTCGTCTTGTGCCAATTCCAATTTGGACAAGGCTTGTTTGTGCGATAAAAATAAAGCTTCAGAAGCATTGCCATTTTGTTCATTCAGTTCTTTGAGCAACTGCTGATTATCGTCTCTGAGTTGCTTGTTTTCTGATATTAGTTTTTCGTATTTGTTACGTAAAGAAGCTGAATCTTGACTGGAAACTTCTAATTGGTTCATCACAGCGCGGTGTTGTTCACGGTAATAATCGAGATCCTAAATTTGTATTAGTAAATAAATAAACAAAATTAGATTTAGTCAGCTTACATGATCACATCTTCTTCTTGCTGTTCCTAATTCGTTGCTAGGTTTTTCAAATTGTTGCTTGTAAGGGTCATAGTCTCTGGTTGCAAAATTTCTTGACAAAGTATCTAGTATAAGAAATTATTAACTTGGGGAATTTGAACATATGAAAACACTTACTGTTGCTTCCACTCCCATCACTATTTGAGGCCATTTTTCATGAATTTCAAGTAAAAACTTACTTAAATATATCTGCAACAAAGAAAAATTCTTACTGCCACTTCAGCTTGAATCAAGAAACTGAAACACGTTTTTTTTTTGGGGAATTACCATCATTATTGCACATACAACAGTGATTTTGAAATTTCTTTTCTACAACGAACTAATTAAATGTAACATTTACGCACCAGTAATATACAATGTTTTCATAATTTATATAATAGGATGTTTAAAAAAAAAAATGCTTTAACTGTACATTGAAGTGAAAGATTGTTCTAAAACATATAAGAACTTGTTTAAATACTGTAAAGCAATTATGCTGGTACATTAGTTTTTGTGCCTGAAGATTAATTAATTAACTGTTGTTTAAATGAAATTAATAAACCAGGTGATGATACTTACTTATGTTGACTTTTCATTCATTATTTACAAAAAGAACATTTGCGTAATGATTAACTATTTTAAGATCGGATTTGAGGAAAACACAATTGAATTGTTTATATTTTTTACGTAAAGGAATTTGGCAACACTCTAAGCTTTTGAATGGAGCTGTTTAATGAATGAATCAATATTTTAATCAGCACTATTTTTACACTTAGAGTAACTGGCTTGCCAAATTTATTTTGGTTGTTGAAATTATATGGATCAAGATCAAGAGAATTTTGGGCATTTTGCGATGGAATTATTTGTTTCAAGATGTTTTGAATTCTTGCAAAATATTCCCTAAGCTTTGGATTAACTTGAACATGCTGGAGGATGTTTTCCAGAAGGTCTTTTTTCCTATTCCAACAAACATCCCAAGCAGCAAAGGTTAGTCGTTATGATGTCGATTTTAAATAGATTTACGTCGATTAACCAAAATTCAACGTCGGAATGAGGTTGCAAAATATGACTTGTTTGGGACGTCACGTAGTGGACGTTTTTTTGGCCATGACATGAACCAACAGGTTCAAAAGTTACCATGTAAAACCCAATATAATCAATTCAGAAAAAATATCCTGTATTAAGACGTCTATGAAGCATCCATTTGACGTCGTTGAACTGGATGTATATTTGGTCAGTGAGGATCGATTGAAAAGTTTCATATCTACATAGTAGTAATACCAGTACATATTATCTGGCGCCTAATAAATATACAGTGGGTACCTATATAAAAAATAATAATTGTTTTGCACTAAGTAGTTTTGGCATTGCCACTCGAATAATCATCATTCTCAAAAGGTTTTTCATCACATTTTCAAAACAATCTGAAATTGGTGTTTTGTGTATTTCAGCAAGTAAAGATGGAAGGATTTGTTTATCTCAATATTATTATACCTAACTGATGAATCATCACTGAAGCAAGAAAAAAAGGGACCAGGGTAATGTAAACAAACTATTGTACCTTTCTTTTCTTATCTATTTTTGTATTTGTCATTCCACAGTAGACTATTGTAGAGGAATGAGCTATTAAAAAAATAATAATTACCTGAGTGATTACCTAAGCTATGGTCCTAACTACCCTTCGAATCAGAATTTTGGTAAGCTACTTCTAGTTGACTATGTTTGGTATCAGACTTTGAGCATTTGGCTGTAGATGTTTTCAATAACATCCTTTTAACAATTGAAGTTTCGTTTCACTGATATCCAGGGCAACAAATCATGGTTTGATTATCTCTTTTTGGTAATTGGTGTCCCCTGGGGAGGCCGTCCACCATGATATGTTAGGATCCCATTTGTTGCACGATTATACTATTTAAGGTAAGTGTAGCAGTGGGGCACTACCGAATACCGGCGAGAAATGGTTGAATTATGATTTGCTGTTGGGTGTCAGCTGCACAACGTGGTTTCAAGTGAATTCAGCCTAATGGGGCTTTAATAGAATAGCTGAATGCTCTTCAACTTTGCCAGGCAAGCGATCATTATTCACAAACTATTACAATACATCTAATAGAACCTACTATAAACGAACACTAAATTAAACTGAAAATAGGTAGTTTTCTCAGAAAACAAAAAAAAAAAAAGTAGATTTTGTGAAGAACTCAGTAAATATAACTGGGACAGAGTTTTTTTAAGCTTGTCAGGTGCGAAACTGTTGGAACCGAATGAAAACCTTAATTAATAGGTTTGTAGAGAACTTAATTGGCTTTAATAATAGCCCAATTGAGTTGAAATCAGATGAAAATTGAAGAAGCTGTGAGGCAAAAACTGTCTTAGTGTCATTTTTGGAAAATTTTCAATGTTCAATAAATTCAATTTTGAAGCCTCTCAGGTGCAAAACTGTTGAAACCAAATTTAGCTAGGTAAATACAAAAACTATCACAATAACCCCCAAAAACCCAATAGACATTTTCAAAACTTGGGGTTTTGTCAGCCCTTGTAGGTTGAGATGTATGTTTACCCAAATGTGATATCCTCGTTGATATCACTAGTAACTAAATAGAGACTGTATCACCAGCAACCAACTAAGAGACTCTCCATAAAGATAAAATAATTGGTTTGTTTTTGGTTGGAGCTTAGGAATTATATGATTTTGTTAATGACAATCCTTCTGGATATCTATTCTCGAAACCAGGGGAATAGCATTCTCATGAAAACGATTGCTCTGTCTTTGTCAGTATTATGGAAATATAAATAAAGATGGCATAGGCAGAACTTTCGTTCTCAATTAAAACGCTGTTCCTCTGTCTCCAGGATAAGGACCCTATATTGAATTGTGTGCGTAAAATCTTTCAAACTCATCAAATCTTACTTTGTTCGCATTGGCATGAAACTTGCCATATTTTGGCAGCTCTAGTGTTCCTCAGGGCAGCAATTTTTCTCCCCTACTCTTTACAATAATCATAAATGACCTACCTGACTATATCGGAAATTCTGACAATATCTAGAATCTGACTATAAAATCGAGATGTTAGTTCAAGGTTGTCACCGCTTTAATTATGCAAATAAGGCAATCGGAATATAAAATCGATATGTTTATGTTAGTTCAAGGTTGTTACCGCTTTTGCATACATTGAGTGCCGACTCATAGATAGGCAATTACTTATACATAATAGAAGTCGGGTAAGTGTTTGGAAGAAGTCCGGAGAGGTCAGGAAAGGGCTGGATAAGGTCGGGAGAAATCTAGACAAGTCTGGATAAAGTCTGGATAAGGCTGGAAAAAGTTTAGCTAAGTCTGGAAAAGTTTGGATAAGTTTGGATAAAGTCTGGAAAAGCCAGAAAATTTCTGGAAACGTCTGGAAAAGGCTCTATTAGGTCTGGAGAAATCTAGACAAGTCTGGATAAAGTCTGGAAAAATCTACCCAAGTCTGGAAAAGCCTGGAAATTTCTGGAAACGTCGGAAAAAGGCTGGATAAGGTCTGGAGAAATTCAGACAAGTCTGGATAAGTTCTGGAAAAGTGTATTTGAAGTCGGGAAAGTGTTTGGGAGAAGTCCGGAGAGGTCAAAGGGCTGGATAAGGTCTGGAGAAATCTAGATAAGTCTGGATAAAGTCTGGATAAAGTCTTGCTAAGTCTGGAAAAGTCTGGATAAGTTTGGATAAAGTCTGGGAAAGAGCCAGAAAATTTCTAGAAACGTCTGGAAAAGGCTCTATTAGGTCTGAAGAAATCTAGACAAGTCTGGATAAAGTCTGGAAAAATCTAGCTAAGCCTAGAAAAATCTGGATACAGTCTGGAAAAGCCTGGAAATTTCTGGAAACGTCTGGAAAAGGCTTAATAAGGTCTAGAGACATTCAGACAAGTTTGGATAAAGTCTGGAAAAGAGCCAGAAAATTTCTGGAAACGTCTGGAAAAGGCTCTATTAGGTCTGGAGAAATCTAGACAAGTCTGGATAAAGTCTGGAAAAATCTAGCCAAGTCTAGAAAAGTCTGGATAAAGTCTGGAAAAGCCTGGAAATTTCTGGTATCGTCTGGAAAAGGCTTGATAAGGTCTGGAGAAATTCAGACAAGTCTGGATAAAGTCTGGAAAAGTGTATTTGAAGTCGGGAAAGTGTTTGGGAGAAGTCCGGAGAGGTCAGAAAAGGGCTGGATAAGGTCTGGAGAAATCTAGACAAGTCTGGATAAAGTCTAGCTAAATCTGGAAAAGTCTGGATAAGTTTGGATACAGTCTGGAAAAGCCAGAAAATTTCTGGAAACGTCTGGAAAAGGCTCTATTAGGTCTGGAGAAATCTAGACAAGTCTGGATAAAGTCTGGAAAAATCCAGCCAAGTCTAGAAAAGTCTGGATAAAGTCTGGGAAAGTCTGGAAATGTCTGGAAACCTCTGGAAAAGGCTTGATAAGGTCTGGAGAAATTTTGACAAGTCTGCATAAAGTCTAGCTAAGTCTGGAAAAATCTGGATAAAGTCTGGAAATTTCTGGAAACGTCTGGAAAACGCATGGAAATTTCTGGATTGGGTCGGAAAAATTCTGGAAAATCTGGAAAGGGTTGAATTTTAGCGGATCTCAAAGCTCACAATAATCACAAGCATTAGCGTTGAAGTTTGCTTCGGCATTTTCAATGTTCTCCTCGGTTGCATCTTTGTGAAGGACTGTGAATTTGTTACTTATGTGACAATTCTCTGACAATATGCCTATTAGCTGTGCTATTAGATATTGCTCTGTAGATGGTTGTTTTTCAAAGCAAGGAAGTGGTTTAATATTTTTTCTAGGTCCAATAGAAGAATCTAGGTATGTATAGGGTTTTCCAATAGTAACGCTCGATGTTTGACAATAGCCCATGAAAAACTCGATAGTCACACAGGTGCTATCTTTGGCAGCCGTATTCAATTAGTCTCTGCATTTTATTATGGAGCGCTACACGATTGAGCAACGCGTCGGAATTGTTAAAAATTATTATCATTATCAAAACCAATGTTCTATTCGGAAAACGTTTCGTGCACTCCGTGCAATTTATGATGTCAACGATCGTCCTTCAGAATCCACAATTGGCCGACCTAACGTCACTGGATTTTTTTCTCTGGGCATTCTAAAATCCAAAGTCTATGTTGACAAATCTCGAACGGTTGCCGCCTTAAAGGCCAATATTAAGCACTTATTGCTGAAATTGAGCCATTTTTAT